CCCTCCTTGGTGTTTCCAAATTTGAGGGCTCAGACTCAGTTGCTCTGTTAGTCTAAGTATGCTCTACACAGGATTTCAAAGGCCTGATATATTTTGGAAGTGGATGGCCAGTCCTTCTTCCTAGTCTGTCTTTAATCTGGATGTTTAGTTTTAGAAAAGTATCTGACAGACAAGCATTTTACCAAAAGGAGCAGACAAAAGACAACCCACAATCAACACTCTTGGCACCAGGAGTCAGGAAATGAAAAGACGAATTGCTGTCAGGCACCTAAGCAGAGACCTGAAAAGCAACGATGTCAGTCTGGAGACTAAGGTGCACCTAATAGAGGACATGGTCTTCGCAATTAGTTGCTATGCATCAGAGAGCTGGACACTGACTAAGGATGCCAGAAGAATCAATGCCCTTGAGTTATGGTGCTGGAGAAGAGTCTTGAACATACCAAGAAAACAAATAGGTCTGTCTTGGAGAGAGTAAAACCAAGTGTCTCCTTGAAGGATTTTGAAACTCCATCTCACATACTTTGGGCACGTGGCCAGGAGGGACCGGTCCTTGGAGAAGGACATCATGCTCAGCAGGGTGGAGAGACAGCACAGGAGAGGAAGACCCGAGATGAGATGGATTGATACAGTAACCGGGGCAATGGGGGTTGGTGTGTTGGAATCAGTGAGACTGGCTCAGGACAGAGCTTCAGAGCGACTGTATACGGGGTCGCTATGAGTTGCAAGCGACTCAATTGGCACCTAACAGCAACATTTATATAATGCAATTTAAATAATCATATAAGCAAAGAGTGTGATAAATCTGGAAAAGGAGCCGGGATGACAAAGAGTGAGCAAAGCCCTCTCTTCTGCTGGAACAGGAAATCAATAGGTAATACCTAAAATTGATGAAGCTGCTTGAGAAGCAAAATTGGAGGAAAGGCAGGGATTGCTTTATCTCAGTACAAAAAAAGTCATTTGGGCTTTTTAAAAAGAGTAAGCATCTATGATGTAGGAAAACATTGTTACTGAAAGAAAGGAAGACTCCCTTCAACTGAGAGTTCAAAATACTCCTTTTCCATTACTTTGTTACAAGTCACCTGTTTACTGTTGCCTTGTTTCTCCACTTATCTTTTCAATAGACTGTAAGAAGTTACAAGAGAAGGAACTATCAAGGGACTGGGGTGTAATCAAAAGGTTTTACCCTCGGATTAAGAGCCATCTGGAGAAGAAAGATGAGGAAGTGAAACTCCTGACGCCAAGTGAAAGGGCACCGAGGCCCAGGAGAGTGTCTTTCAGCTCACATGGAGACGGACAAGTTAGAGCCCCACTAGTGAGTCGAAAAGATCCCAAAAATTTGCAATGTTTCAGCTCACTGCAAGTTGGAAACAAGTTCCGTCAAGAAACATTATCCTGAGCATACTATGGCTTGAAAAAAAATGTTACAGGACACAGATTTACTTCACTCAGAGGTCTGTATCTGCTAGTCAAGTAGGAGTTCCCATGGCACAACGGTTAGCACATGATGCCCTCTTAAAAGTCAGATGTATAAATGCACCAGCCATCTGTGGGACAGAGGTGTGGCAGTTTGTTTCCGTAAAGATGACATCCTTGGCAATCCCGTCAGGCAGTTCTGCCCTGTCCTCGAAGGAAGCTCTATTCTGTCTTCTAGGGAGACAGAGCTCTACCCTGTCCTGGAGTAAGGGGCAGCTCCACAGCGATGGGCATTAGCAACCTCGGCTTTTTGCTTTCATAAGCACTGCTCTGTCTAAACGCACACATCCACACACAATGTTTGGATGAAAATCTGGGGAGAGGGAATCTGTAAAGAGTAAATACTTGGTTTCTTCTCACTTTTCCTATCTTCTAGCATGCTTCCCTTCAGTCACTTAATACTCAACAGCCCCAACTAGCGGCTGCGTGTCTCCTGTAAGAAAGGCTCTCTCGGGCTCTTCGGAGAAGTGAGGACGAAGTCCCTGCCCGCAAGATGTCCAGTGCAGTCAGGGCACGGTGGGTGATCACCGAGACTACAGCCAGTCTGCAAGTCTTCACATCAACACTCTGGTGGAGGAAGACATAAGGACTTAGGGTGTCGAGAGTGTGTAAACTGAAAGCGAGGAGATTCTCTGTGTGCACTCTCACAAAGCTTCCAATGGCAGCGTCTGCTAACAGGACTCGAAAACGTTACTCTCATCCAGGCTGTAGCAAAGCAAATGCATTGCCTCCCATTCTGGCGACTGGCCCGAATGGACACAGGAAAGGGCTGACCTTTCGGTTAGCAGCCAAGAGCTTAACAGCTGAGTCACCAAGGTTCTTCTCTAGGTTAAGTGAAGTACAGGCTACCGCCAAGGTTACAGTTAATCCAGAATGAGCTTAGAGCACATTTCTCAAACTGTCAAGAAGTAGAAAAAAAGAAAATATTTCAATGCAGTCTTCCTTTGTATCAATGGGGGATTGGTTCTGGACCCCCTGTGGAAAGACCCCCTCCCAGTCCTTTATATAAAATGGCATAATATCTGCACATCCTCCTATATACTTTAAATAACCCCTAGATTATGGATAATACCTAATACAAAGTAACTAGTGACCACATTTTCTAGAAATAACTTTGTGTTCCCTCATGGCCTTTGAAGGATTGCTCTGACCAGAGGGGTGTGTTTTAGGAGCTAACCTCTCCCCAGAATAGTTTCCATGGGAAGTGAGTTGAATGGTTGATTCAGCTGATGGGGAAACCTACAGATACACAGAGTGACTGTAAAAGAATGAAAGTTTTGCTCGTAAGATCTAGTCAAGATAAAAACCAACCCCAAACCAAACCAAAACACCTCATAACACTAAAAATGTGTTGATATTAAGATTTAGCAGCTCTGGGGAACTGCATGAATTAGAGACGCCAAATTCACATTTACAGATAGATCTGTTTCTAAAATACTGAGACTAAAAGAATCTTGCTTCTGTCAATGGAACTAAAAATACTTGGGATGAAATAGTATCTTAGCTTGAAAAAGCGTCACTGGCAGAATGGAAACCAAGGCTGGATTCAATTCACAAATAGTACTATTTGCTTGGCAGGAAAGCTAAAATCAACATGCAGGAATCTTCAGACAAATGAGTTAGAAACAGGGAGATATTATACTAGAAATTGAAAAGCAAAAGTGAGAGTCTACACAGGAGAATGAAAGTGGCTGCTATCACGCAAACTTCCAAAGTCGGTAGGATCCAGCCAGTCTTGGTCACGGTCATTACTTATTGCTCATTTACTGCATGCCAGGCACTGTGCTACTGCCTAACAGGTGGGACCCTCTGGATCCTCTGCCAGGCTTCTGCCACCAAGCTGGGTGCCTCTGCCCCTTCATCAGTAACATGTAGAGACTGACACTAACTTCTCCATAGGACTGCTGTGAGAATCAAATGGGACCGTCCACGTCACGTGCTAAGAACACTGCCAGGCATGCTGTTAGTGCTGTGAAATGTAAGCTATTCTTGATATTCTTAAAGCTTGTCAGTGGTGAGAGGAGCCAAAATTCAAACGCCAGAATAAACTTTCTGCTCTTAAGACTACGAATACTGATTCAGAAACCATTCAGATGATGAAGGGAGCTCTGGTGGCCTACTGGTAAGGAGCTGCGCTCTAATCCCAAGGGCTGCGGGTCAAATCCACTAGCTGCTCCAGGGGAGAAAATGGGCACTCTCCTCTCGGGTGCCTCTGAAAACCTGCTGGAGGGTCAGGGTACAGGGTGGTTATGACTCGATGGTATATAACAATGACAACGACAAACAACAACATGCATCATGAAGGGAGCTCTCGTGGCTGTTAGCCTAGAGACAGGCCGTTTGAATCCACCAGCTGCTCTGACAGAGAACGATGGGTAATTGCCGCCCTGGCAACTTATAATCTCTGAAAATCCACTGGAAGGTCAGTTCTGAGTCGGTTCCACCTTAATGGTAATGAGAGAGCTAGATCATGAATTAACTGATGGTTAGAAGATAAAAAAACCACAAATGAATAGAAAAACAAGCAGTGACAAGAGTGACCTGCCTTGGTGGGACAGGCCGGAAGCAAGAGCAGAGACAGGCAGCATGGGTCAGCTCCACTAACAGCTCAGCAATGAACTAGTAGCTCTTTGACTTTGACTGACTGCTGGACACGTAGGATCTGAACTTCCCTGACTGCTAAAAAAAGGGCAGAGAAGTTTCTTCCAATGCTGACAGTCTATGAAACTGCTGTCATTACGTGTATCTGGGTTGACTCCAACTCACTGCAACTCCAGGTAACAGAATAACTAGCCCTTATGTTTCCCAGGTTCATGGCCTTGAGAGCTTTCTTCCCAAAGAGTCGCTTGGTGGGTTCACACCTTGTCTTTCAGTAGAGGCTGAGGGTCAACAGTTGTCAAACCGGGGCTCTTTTCTATGATACTACAACCCAACCCAACATACGATCTTCAAAGCTACATCTACTTCACAAATAGGTACTATTACTTAGTTTTCGAAGAATCACATTCAGAGGCAAACTATCCAGAATATACTTATAACTTTTAAACATAACAGTTTCATAAGAATGAAATTAACAGTCTAGAGAAGCAACTCTATGTTCTATTTCAAAATGGTGAAAACAGAAAGGAGATTATATGCTGGCAGGAGTTGGGGAGGGCGGAGAATGAAGACTTAGTTACTGCTTAATAAGCAGAGAGTTTGAGTCTTGGGTGACAAACAAGTTCTGGAAGTCACAGTATGTACGGTCACCCAACACCAGAGATGCACTCATACCACAGAATTGGGTATTTTACAATTATTTAAAAAGTAAAATTTCATTTTATATGTATTTTTTAAAAAAGAAAAAATTAAATATAATTAGGCTAGTCAGAAACTCAAAACAGTGTTATCTTTTATAATAGTATAATAATTTTCAAACATAAGAAATGTTTTAATTGAGGAAAAGTATGAAATATTTCTTACATGTGATAAAGGACTATTTTGGTATACTCAGCTTTAGGAACAAGTTGAGAAATGGTCCAATTTACCTTTCTGCCCATGGCGACTGCTGAATTTGTCTCCAATCTCTGGACGCCGAGTCTGTCTCAACAGAATTTTGATCAGAAAAGCATCTTCAGCATTTGAAGATATCATCACCTTTTCAATATAGGAATCTGTTGCCCCTTTGTACCTAATGTTAAAAGAAAGCCATTAAAATGGAGTTGGGAAGCTGCCTTCTATACAGACAAGCTACTTCAGTCTTTAAATGTAAAGCTTTAAAAGATGATCCTTCATTTTCAACATGAAATTAAAATTTTACAATTTCCTTTTCAGAGCTTAAATATTTAAAATAGCACAGGAGAGGAAAGCACTCTATGAGGTGGATTGATTCAGTGACTGGGATAATTGGGATGGGAGTGTCAGAGACAGTGCGATTGGCACAGGACAGAGCAGAGTTTAGGCTGTTGTACATTGGGTCGCTATGAGTTGCAAGCGACTCGACGGCACATAACAACAACAACAACAGCTGAAAATTTATTCAGAGGCAAATACAACCTAATTTAATCTTTACAGTGGCCCCATGCGTTAAGGCTCTTATTATCAATGAGGAAAACTGAAGCTTAGAGAAGTAAGTTGTCCCAGGACACACAACTAACATGAAATGGAACTGGGATCTGGGCTAAGTTAAAGAATCCAACTCCCCCGCGACCCGCTGCCCTTAAGTTTATAATTTTAACTCTGTGCCTCTAATATTTCTTTTGTCTTCATCCTGTAATTCAGATGGTCACAGCTTTTTATCTACTGACTGAAAATACCATTCCTTATAAGCCTGACATGATTTTGCCCCTTTGGATTATTGTTGTTAATTGTTTTGTTTTTTTCTTGTTGGGTACAATCAAATCAGATTTGACTGGCACAGGAGGCGATTGCCCCTCTTTCTCCAGTGGAGCATCAGGTGGATTTGAACCCCATACCTTTGGGAATGCAGTGCAGTTTCTTGACACTAGACCACCAGCGCTTCCTGTGGTGGCTGTATTACTATTTAGCTTTTATCACTATACTTAGTGAGTTGTGGTAGCCAGTCTCTAAAAAGGTTCCCATAAATCTCATTTCATGGTATTCAGAACTTTGTGTAGTTCCATCTTCTTGAGATTTTGGTGAATTTAAGTATTATAAAAATAATGGATGTCATGTCCAAGACGATGTTATGAAAGACCTATGATTTCTCTCTTTTGATCTTTCTTTCTGTGGGAAACACTAGGTAGCATATTGAAAGTAGCACTATGGAGAGAGAACAGCCCAAAGTGTGTGAGCAAAGCTTTTCTATCCTTATCTCCAAAAAGCACCCTGGTTGTACTCTCTCTAAGACACACCTGTTTGTCCTTTTAACAGTCATATGATAGTAAGTATTCTTATCTAACATCACATTTGCATCTCAATATAAAAAAAAACAACAAATATTTTCACCAGTGGACTAATAGGCAACATCATGATAGATGGATAAAAGATTCAAACTCTCAGTGGCTTCATCTTACTTGGATCCACAGTCAATCTCCTTGGTACCAGCAGTCAGGAGATCAGGAGATGTACTGCACTAAAAGTCTGCAGTATTGGAGGAGTAATGATGTTAGTTTCAGGGCTATGGTGTCCCTGGTTCAGACAATGATCTTATCAATCACTTGACCATGAATAAGGATGACAAAAGAATTTATGTCTTTGAACTGTAGTGCTGGAGAAGAGTACTGAATATCCTATGAACGGCCAAAAAAACAAAGAAACATGTCTTGGAGAAAGTTCTGCCAGGATGGTGAAGCTTCGTCTCACGTGCTTTAGGTGTGCTACGTGGAGAGGGACATTAGGTTCACAAACTCGAGAGGGCTGGGGAAGGAGATGAAGACTCTTAACCAGATGGATGGACACAGTGACTGCATCAGTGTGTTCAGGTGTGTCAGAGATTGTGAGGACAGCACAGGACAGGCCAGGGCTCAGATCTGCTGTTCACTGGGCTGCATGAGTCATACTCATCTGGATGGCACCGAACAGGAGCATTTCCATGTGCCTTTTGCCTTGCTGTGTCCTCCACCTGGAACATGTTGCCTACTTTGGTCCAAACTCAAATCCTTGTTAGAAGTTCACCAGGATTCAGCAGTCTAGTTAAAACTTCTCTGTCATGCTGGTTTTAGACTACTACTACTATTACTCTAAATGCACACTGCTAGCTCCCTAACCCGTCAGGGCGCTCTGGTGGCTTAGTGGCAAGGAGTTGTACTGCTAACCCAAAGACATGCGATTCAAAGCTCTCACTTCTCATTTCCCCGGTTCTTTCACTTTCTTTGGGCTTCCGTGCTTTACGGAGTCTAAACCAATACCTACGTTATGGGCACATCTTTGTACTGTGGCTGCTGTGGCACGTTACTTCCTTCCAAAGGAGTCTGAGTCACTGTGGGCATTGACTTATTCACAAGCACTTGCTTGTTTTCGACCTTCTCACCTAAGGAAAGAGAGAAGCACAAGACACACCATTATCATCAAGAAATGCAAAGATTATAGGGGTGTAAAATGATTATGGTTAAACTTGGTCCATGATATCCTGTCATGGAAGAAAAAACACACAAAAAGAAGACAGTAAAAATAAGAACAAGGTGAGCCAGTGTGCAGAAAATCAAGGAAGTGATTCAGGGGCCCCTATAAACGAGAGAAACCTCATCTCAGGGAAGCAGCAATGTTAGGTCCCTGTGAGGAGCTCCAGTCGTGCAGTCTTTAGTGCGTGTAGCTGCTCAGTAAAGGCTGTGCATCTTAGGGGTTCAAATCAATTAGCTACTCCATCTCCACAGTGGAAAGACAGACAGTCTCCTCCAGAGAAGATTTACAGCCTCAAAACCTGAAGGAGGTTGTCATGAGTTGGGATGGATGGTATCAGAACCAATCTGGAATGTTTACTTTATGCAAAGGTATCACCAACCCAACCCGAGCAACAAAGAAATAATATTATAATGGTCTTATTTCCTTCTTTAATGTCCCTTCTCCTGTTATGACTGTGTTGCTTCTTTTCATGATAAACTCAAAGACCAACTACAATAGCACTGATTTTCCAAGTGACACCAAGCGGGGTAAGGAGTGAGAGATTTCTTCAGGAAACAAAAGCAGAGAGGGGGTGGGGAGCCATGCCTTGGGAGCCTCACAGTGTCAGAGCTGACACAGCAATCACCAGCAGGGCCCCGTCCATGACATGGTGACACGGCGCTCCCCGCCCAGAGCCCGCTCCCCGTTCTCTCCATCTCCACCACAGCGCCAAGCCCCTAGCCTTGGGTGCGCATGCTATTCCAGGACCTTTTGACTGGTCACCATTCTGTTCTGTCTCCTTTATGATCTTTTCTCCACACTGCACTCAGAATCAAAAGTTTAAAACCCGCCCTCTGGTCACGTCACAAGCACACAGTTAAAAATTTAAAATTCTCAAATTCCTGGAAAGTCCAGTGACAACAGCAACAGGGTAGCAAGGCTTTGCTTTGTCTGGCTCCCATCTCTGGCTCTGTCCCTCTTTCTCCCCCTCCACACATGTCCCACTCTCTCTTGTACTGTTTTTGCTGTACTGGCCTATTTTCAGGGTCTTTTGCCATCAAGTCCCAGGACTCTTACACAACCCTTCTCACTATTAGAACACACTCCTTGCCTCTTTTCCAGCTTACTTTCTACTTACCTTTCAGATTTTAGCACCTTTTCCTGGGAAAAGTTAACCTGCACCTACTGACTAGGTGAAGACCTCCTGTTCTAACCCAGACTCTAGCTCCTTCTACAATTCCTTAACCCGGCTGTAAATTGACACTTACTGTGTGTTCCTTTCTTCACTGTCAGTTTCTCACACTGTGAGACCCCATGATGATGGCTATTGTGGGCTACATCAACACAGTTCATTACAAGTCTGCACGTAACAATGAAGTCACATTTTTTTAAGGAAAGATGATTCTAAAGTCAATATATAAATCGTAAAGTACCAGTGTAGGCACTCAATATGATCCTGTTTTCGTGTGAGCTGGAAGCGACTCTTAGCTGATCCTCTCGTGGGTTTTCAGAGGCGGTAAACTGCATGGGAAAGATGGCCCACTTTTCTCCTGTGGAGCAGCTAGTGGACTTGAACCAAGGACTTTTGCACTGCAGCACAATTCCTTACCACCAAGCCACCTGAGCTCCCTGAACATGACCCTATTCTAAACAAATATATCCCTTAAGAGACTTTTTAAAAAAAAGAAATTATAACCAGAATAGAATATACAGCTATGTAAAAATACATGCATAGAAAAACAGGCTGGAAGTAAATTCATAAAAACATTACCATACTACACAGTTTATGAGGAATGCTGGAAAATTTTGGAATTGTTTTTAGATAACAGAACTGTCAATTCCTCTCATGACTTTATTAACCTTGTCTGATTTAAATCCTACAGTTTTTCAGGTCTACTATATCTAACATTTCTTAGCACTTTCATTCTCTTCACAAATCTCATTTAATGAGTAATATTTTATTTTATTTTGGCAACTCTATTTATAGAAGTTACTGTTCATTTCTCTTCCTGAAATAAATGGAATCCCAGTTTAAAAGAAAAAAATAGTTACCACACTGGCTGAGTTAGAAGAGTGGTACTAAGTAGGCTACTTGCCCACCCCTCACCCCGCATCATTTAACAAACATTCAAAAACAGGTTTCATAAACTTTTCAAAAATATTTATGTTCATTTTTTAAAAGGCTTTTTACCTGGAGAGCAAATACCATCTGCATCTAAAATTTCATGTTTCCAGATGGGTTTCCGTGTAGTAGCATCCAGCATGGGCCCCATCACTTTGTCAAAAGTTTGATTGGTGTATCGTTTTAATGTACATTTTGCATTTTTGTAGACAAGGCAACGACCAAAGCCTTACAAAAAAAAAAAAAAGGTATATCAGAACAAGTACAAAAATACAACACACATAGATTTTTATGATTCAGTTACACCTCAAGACCACCACCATCTCACCCCCACACACATAACTACTCCACCTCTGGATAATCTGGGATCTGGCACAACACAGTCCACAAACTGAACGAAGCCCTGGCTCGGGACTTCCCTCTCCACCGTCTACACAGATGCTGGAACCTCGCCCCCAGTTTCCTCATGGAATATGCCCTGCCATGTTGGAAGTAGGTGGTCAAACTCGAGAGGAGACGCTCAGTCATTCAGAGCACGGAGTCATAGATGTTAGAAACAGTCTTCGAAATCACTCGGTGTAACTTGCAGTTTTTCACAGATGCTGTGAGCGTGGTCCAAAGATGTTAAGGAGCCAGGTCACCCAGCACGTCGGTCGGCGGCAGAGGTGAACAGACCACAGGCTCCTCAGGCAGGACTCTGCACACATCTGCTTGCTGGGTAACCCCTATGACCCTCCCTGGAGAGATCTTCTTTTTTCTCATCTGGGCATTCAAGGGGAGCCCCAAACCAGTAGATAAAGAGGTTTCCTTTCTTACAATGAAAAGCAGCTGGCAAACCAATGATTTTCATCTTTTTTGAAGAGTTTACTGTTTATACTTTTAGATCACATTTATCTCATGATAAGGGAAAATTAGTAACTGATATTGAAGAAGGTTAAGCAACAACAGATCCCCCCTTCCTTTGGCTAAACAGTTACTTAAAACTTGATTTTTCTCTCATCTCGTCAAAATATACAGACATGTCAGTGTTCACTTAAATAGAAAAAAATGTTTCAAGAGCAAAGCTATTACTTATAAAATAAATACATAGCTATAAAATCCTTCATTCCCAAATCTGTATCAATAAATGAACTCTTTCAAGAAGTCTAAGAATCTAATCATTTGGGAAAATCACTTAAGTAAAGCAAGACTTCTGAGTAAACTCTCAGGACTCTAATGCACTTTTAAGAACATGAATGTAATATGAATGACTGCACAAAACCCAATGAAAATATTATTTAAAAATCAACTAAGAAGGTAGCTAAAACAAAACAACACATTTCTCTAATTGGGCAGTAAGGGAAGGTGCCTGTGTGTCTTCGAGCTAGATCATGGTCACCCCAGCTCCCAGTACCATGCGCTGTAATGTGGCCGTAATAAACTCTGCTCAGCCAGCAGACTGGGAACATTAGATGATCTTGAAATTTTGTACAATGGCAGTTAACTGCAATGTGCAGGGTGACTCTGAAGGGGAGTGTGAATCCGAAGTGCATACAATCAGAAGTGATTTTTCCCAAGTGTAAATGGACATTTTTATTTACAGGTGGGAGCTTAAAAGCCTGCGGGCAGTAAACGCAGATCATTAAATTGTGTTGCAGGGTTTCTGACAGACATCACCAAGTCCTCAGATTTCCACATAAACGTTACCAGTTAATCAGAAAGGACAACATCTAGTTTTAAAGCATGGCTGTTGTCATTTGGAGGAAAAAAGAGGCATAAATTAAGTGCAGCCAACATTAATGCCGAAGACACATGTCTAGAAGTACTATTATGGCTGCCTAGCAACTCTGAAGAGGGAAGGGGGCGGCCTGGTGGGGACGCCAGGGAGAAAGAAGAGCAATTATGAATAGAGGAGTCAGAATCGGATCAGGTGATGGTGAACACACCATCAAGTGGCGACCTGCAACACTGGCAAACAATCAAGGAAGAGTCAAAACTACAAGCCAGCTTTTGTATGGCTGTTTGTAGCACAATGTTGCTAAAAAATAAAAAGACATAAAGACTATGGGATGAGCTCGATAATAAAAAACAGCCTTTTAGAACCAAAGACTGTTATTGTCCTAGACAGTAGATTTCTTGCTACATCATTTATTTAACTTAAAAATAAATTCTTACTTCCCCTACCCCCTTCTGTGGAGTTATCACAAGCCACCAGCTAAAAGACGATTCCTTAGTATACATTTTATAAATGACAAGATAAAATGCGGGGGAGGCAACACCATAGCATGACGATGACTTCTTGTCTTGTCAGCATCAAATCACTGGAAGCTGATACTAGTGCGTTCGCGCCGAGGATTTCTACACTCATCATGCTTATCTAATTCTGCAAAAGGCACCCAGGGTGCTGGAGCTCTGAAGGTCCACTTACCTCGGTCCAAGGAGGCTTTGTTCAAAACAAGAGCATCCTCAATGTCATAGCCACTGTAACTCATGACAGCCACTATTGCATTCTGTCCGGCCGGCAGCTTCTCGAAGTCGATCAACTCGATGGTCTTTGTTTTAACCATAGGTTTTTGTGGATATGCTAGTAGATACATGAGGGTATCAATTCTGTTCCGCTGGTTGTATCCGATGGTACCTGTATTCACATTGGAGAAAAAGAAGTGCCATACTGTGTCACAGACAATAACAATTAGGCAGCTGGGACTATACAACAGACACATTAACTTCATTAGTTAAAATGAAGAAAATCTTCAAGGTCAAAAACACTTTAGAATCAATACCCTCAGACTGGCTGATAACTTTTTATTTTTGGATTAACTTTTTTTTTGAAGCTTTTAAAAATATAATTTAAAACTCTTCTGTACCAGTGCAATATATTAAACTTACAAATGTAAAATTTTATCAGCTGCTAAAGCATGTGCAAAACCCATACACCTACTTCATTTTTATTGCAAAGTTATCCATTAAGAAAATACTACTTTTAAATTAGAAAACATAAAAATGATTTCACTATAGAGAAGAGACAATCTGATTTTAAAGACAATCTTCTACGAGAATATGTACTCAGAAAAGAACTGAATTAACTTTTAAAAGGAGGGTTTTCCCCTCACTATTATTTAAAGTCTTTCAGAGAAGGAAAAGAAATCACACTCAGGATATGCAAATTCAAATAATCTCTATTTTTTTTTTAATTTACAGACTTAATCCTTTTTAAGAAATTTTAATTTCACAAGGAAGTCAAACATTCTCTCTTTAGTTCTACTGTGTTCTGGGACACAATTCCAGTTGTTAGAGAAAGAGACTGGAAAATGCTACCCACTGTGTACATGCGAAGAGCTTATACAGCGGGACATACAGACACACTTCAGATGAGGAAATCAACAATTACAAAAAGCTCTAATTAAAAAAAAGAAAGTGGGAGGGAGGAGAAAGAACCGAATGTGGGAGGATGAAATAGTTCAGGTGAAAGCAAGAAAGCAGGAAGCTATTCGTTTAACTACTTATTAAGCAGTTAGTAAAAACGTCCAACACTTCTACGTGCTGTGCTTAAGCTAGGCTGCTGACCAAAACGCTGGCAGTGACTTGACTACTAGTTTCCACAGGAGAAAAAAACTGCAAGCAGCTTGAAGATTTCAACCTTGAGTACCTTTTATGGCAGCTCTACCCTGTCCTGTGCGATCACTGAGTTGAGATGGACTTAATAGCAATTTTGTTTTGTTCTTTTTTTAATGTGCCAAACACTGGTGGGAATCATGGGGAAATGTTATGCCCTTCTCTAAGGAATATGGGGCACGGTGCAATCAGAGACGGCTCTTCCCGCCTTAGAAAAGGTCTTTCCACCTGACTGACCATGGGAAGGATGTTACTGGACCCAGAATGTTAATCATTTCTTTCTCCTCTTAGAAACACACTGGTGGGGCTCATGGACCACGCTCTGACTCCCTGGGTTTAAGGACACACTGATAATCATACACAGATGTCTTCAAATTGGGAAACTCATCCTTTTCCTAACATTGATGTTAAATGTAGGCTACTGAGGTTCCTTAACTTCTCTTAGGTATCTCTTTTTTGGCTGAGAAGAGCAAACATTAACAGTAAGATAAAGAAGGTAGCCTGAAACTTCTCTTGCAGAAGTTTCTGGAGTGATGCACATGTTTCTAGAATACTCACAAGTCCTGACATGTCTGCATGGCATTTAATGGAGTTAGCGTTACCCAAACTCAGTATTTAATTTCCTCTCCTTTTTGAACTTCATAATTCAAGTCATTAAGTCAACAGCGATTTCAATTTAGAGATGAAAGCAATCTCTTCAAAGAGCAAAAGTGACAGTTACTAATAAAAGGAGACCGTGAAGTCTGTGGTGTCTACCCAAGCGACACACATCTAGAACATGCTCAGGTTCGGTGTAGCTGCTCGATAAACATCAAGTGAATACAAGAACGCCATCGTACTTTTGATTTTAACGTATGGATAACCATGGGTCTGTGCATGAATCTCTGAGCTGGAACATTTCCCAAACTAAAGCTAGTAAACTTTTGTTGAGTTGGCACTCTACATTGTCGACTAATTTATGTTATTTCAGTGCCAACTAATAACCTGGGTAGGACGCGTGGCAGGGGGTCACTTGCTGTTTTAGGACTAAAATCACCGTTGCTGGGATCGTGGTAAAAGTTCACCAACAATAAGTTTGTCGTGTCACATGAAATCATTTGAAATTTATGTTGAGACTGCAGCTCCAATTGTGTACCTTACCCAGCTTGAGGCAAGGGTTCAGGCAATGGCCCACCAGGCTGCCAAACATGTCTTCTGAAACCTGAGACCAGCATTATTCTGCAGCAGGAAGCGTAAGTGGCTGCAGCCCTGAACAATGGGGATGGAGACTGGACACTGCTATAAATTGTGTGAGCAGGGCCAGAACACGGCTCTCAGGCTTTCCAGCCAAGGCAGCAAATGTGCTGTGCTTATGATCTCATCTGAGATGTTTCTTTAGAGGAAGAACTCAGGAGAGGACACAGGTGAGTTATGCACATCATCAGCTGTACTGACTGTCAGTGGATCAGTTAACATCAGCTGTACTGACTGTCAGTGGATTAGTTAAAACACGACTTATAAATGATGATTGCTGTATCTTAAAGCTTCAAAATACCATCAGACTCCCATGTCTTTTATGAAAATCAGGGTTTATCACACACAGAAAGGCAGGCCGGTTACGCTACTCAGCCACTAACACCAAGCTTCACTGTGAAAGTGTTGTGTGGAAATGAAGTTATATGGCCAATCTATGGAAACATACGTTCAAACTGCTGCTGCTGCGTGCCTTCTAATGGGCTGTGACTCCTGTCCACCCTACTGGACAGAGGACTGGCCCAGTACGATTGCCAAGGCTGTCGGCTCTATGGGAGCAGATTGTCAGCCCTTATCTCCTACAGAGTGGCTGGTGGGTTTGAACCACTGACCTCTAGGTTAGCAGCTGGGTGCATAATCATTGTACCACCAAGGCTCTGGACATCAGTCATTATCTTCTGCTTAACAACACAGTTACAGAGATATCACAATCAACAGAAAGACACTAAGCAGAAGCTGCAATCTATCTTCCACTGCCCCATGTGGCTGCTTCCATAGCTCCCAAGGATTTTCTTTTTTCCCCCTACTTAACGACATCACTTTCATTGCAAAGTCCTGTCTTCCTGACAATAACTTTAAGACAGACATCACAAGCTGGCATATAAATGTAGGTTACATAAGAAAAAAGTTTGCTTTCATCTTTTTTTTCCCTAAAATTGGGGCGGGGGGGGGGCGTAAGGACTTGAAAAAATATACTGAGAAAAAGAAAATGGCATTTTATGCATTTAATTGTTTTATTCTTCTTTTCAGGTCTCTTTAAGCAACACTATTTCACATAATAAATTTTACACATTTAAATTACACAAACTGATGAATTCTAAGAGTTGTCACACCTATGAAATCACCATCACAATCAAGATTCAGAACATTTGCTCGGTCCACATAACCACTGCTATGTTTCTAATCATTCTAGAAACAGGTTTGAGGCCTTGAACACTAATAAGCAAAGGCTAGATGAACTGTGGGAGGATGTCAAATGTATCATCCAGAGAGCATGCAAATGGTCATTACAAAGACAGAAGAGGAAGAAAAGACCAAGATGGGTTTATGAAGAAGACTCTGAATATTGCACTAGAGCACAAAGAAGCCAAAGCAAAGGGAAGAAATCAAGAAATTAAGGAGTTAAACAGAAGATTTCAAAGGGAAGCGTGGGAAGACAAAGTAGAGCTGGAGTCAGAAAAATCAAAAGGGCCAACTTGCTCAGCATTTCTTTTCTTTTCTTTATTTTAATCGAGATTTTATTGGAAGTTTATAAAGAACTTGGATTTCCATTCATTCACTGTTGCACATTTTCCTCCCTGCCCACCTCCCCACCAGTTTGTTTTTTTTACAAGCTGAAGAAACTGAAGCTCAAATTCAAGTCTCTAGTTGCAATACTTAAGATGCTGTGGGCAGAAGAGTAAATTATCCAGGAAGCATTAAAAGAAGATGGAAGGAGTATACAGAGTCATTATACCAAAAGGAACTGACTGGCTGACACAGAATTTCATGTAACAATGTATGAGCAAGAGCCTGTGGTGATGAAGGAAGAAGTTCAAGCTGGTCTGAAATAACTGGGAAAAACCAAGGCCCCAGGAATTGATGGCATACCAACTGACTTATTTCAACACAAAGACACTGCCCTGGATGTGATCATCAAGTTATGCCAGGAAATCTGGAGGACAACCAAGTGGCCAACTGACTGGAAGAGCTCCTATGTTCTCATTCCAAAGAAAGGTGACCCAACAGAGTGTGGAAATTAATCGAACAATATCATTAATATCACATGCAAGCAAGATCCTGCTGAAAATGATCCAAAAACAACTGAAACAGCACACCAACAGAGAAGTGCAGGCTGGGTTTAGAAGAGGCTGTGGTACCAGGCATGTTATAGCTAATGTTAGATGGATCTTGGCTGAAAGCCAAATACCAGAGGAATATCTATCTGTGTTTCATTGACTAAGCAAAGGCATTTTACTGTGTAGATCACAAAAGATTGTGGCTGACTCTAAGAAGAATGGGAATCCCAGAATACTTGACCATACTTATATGAAATCTGTACTTGGACCAGGAGGGCAGTCATCAGAACAGAGCAAGGAAACACTGCATAGTTCAAAACTGGAAAGGGTGTATGCTAGGGATGTATTCTATCTCTATTCCTTTTCAGTCTATATGCAGAACAGATCATCTGGGAGGCTGGGCTCTATGAGGAGAAATGTGGCATCAGGATTGGAGGAAGATTCATCAATAACCTGTGTTAAGCAGATGACACAACCCTGCTTGCTGAAACTGAGGAGGACCCGAAGCACTTCTTGAAGGTCAAGGACTGCAGCCTTCAATAAGGATTGAAGCTCAACGTCAAGAAAACAAAAATTCTCACCACTGGACAGCATCATGATAGACAGAGGAGACTGAGATTGTTGACAGCTTCATTTTGCTTGTCTTTACAATCAACACTCTTGGTACCAGCAGCCAGGAAATTAAAAGATGAATTTCACTGGGAAAGTCTGCTGTCAGGGACCTCTCCAAAGT